TGGCTATCCCCTAGCAGAATGATGAAATATCAAGTGATACTTACTGAACAAGATGACAGTTTTGAAAACAACTAACTTTGTGAATCCTGCAGTGTTTCTGAGTACTTCACAGGAAGAGCAGCAGCTGGAGCATGACTGAGTTGTAACCATCAAGCATACATACTCCAGTCAGGAGGATTTGATAGACATTCCCCTTGAAAAGCCAGACTGGAACCTATTTACAGACGGCTCCAGTTTCGTTTTGAATGGAACTCAGTATGCTGGATATGCAGTAACAACTGAAAATACAGTGGTGGAGGCACATACACTGCCTATCACAACCTCTGCACAGAAAGCAGAGTTGATCACATTAATCCAAGCCTAGGAACTAAGTAAAGGAAAGAAGGCTAATATATGGACCAACTTTAAGTATGCTTTTGATGTGGTCCATGTCCATGGAGTCCTGTGGAAAGAAATAGCACTGCTCTCCTCACAGGGAACAAATATTAAGCATCAAAAAGAAATTTTACAGCTGTACAAGACTGTACAAGACTGTACAAGAGCCAGTACAAATATCAATCATGCACTGTAAAGCACACTAGTCTGGAAACACTAAAATAGTAGAAGTGAATAGATTAGCAGTTCAGACTGCTAAGAAAGCAGCACTACAGCAAATGGCATCGCAAATGGCAATAATTCCCACTAGAACTGTAGAACTACCTAAAGAATCTCCAAAATATTCTGGAGAGGATGATAAGTTGGCACAGTTGGTAAATGCAAAGAAAAATCAGGAAGGATGGTGGGTTACAAGTATGGGACAAGTAGTAGTGCCTCCTTTGATTATGAGAGAGATCTTGCAGATAAAACATCATGAATGTCATTGGGGTGCGGAAGCCCTGGTACAGATTCTAAAGCGAAACGCAATACCAGTAAAAATGTTAGAAATGGCTAAATCAATATCTGCAAAATGTGAGGTTTGTTTAAAGAATAATCCAATAGCATGAAAGAAAGTTCAAATGGGCAAAATAAAAACAGTAGAGCCAGGTGATTATTGGCAAATCGATTTTACAGAATTACCTAAATGCAATGGGTACAGATACGTGTTGGTTGGGGTTGACACTTATTCTGGATGGCCAGAAGCTTTTCCCTGTCGCACAAATCAGGCTAAAGAGACTGTTAAATGGTTACTGCAGGAAATTATTCTGAGATTTGGAGTTCCACTTGGAATATCATCAGACAGAGGACCACATTTTGTGGCCACAGTGGTACAAGAAGTAAGCAAGGTCTTAGGAATTTCCTGGGAATTGCATGCTCCTTGGAGGCCACAATCTAGTGGTAAAGTGGAAAGAATGAATCAAATCTTGAAAAGACAAATCAGTAAAATTTGCCAGGAAGCTAAATTAAAATGGCCTCAAGTGCTTTTACTTGCATTGTTACAGATACGAGTAAAACCTAGGAGTGGAGTGTCAGTAAGCCCTATGAAATATTGTATGAAAAACGATATGAATCACCTGAGCCTAATCCTAATATACATGTAAAAGGAAAACAAGAGGTATATAACTATTTGCTTTTTTTTGAAAAACTCTAGCTAGACTCCAAGGAGCAGTAGTGTGGAACCAGCCTTTGACATTGGAAAATCCGGTACACAACATACTGCCAGGGGACTATGTCTATGTGAAGACTTGGAATGAAGAATCTCTGCAAGAAAGGTGGAAAGGACAGTTCCAGGTGTTGCTGACTACTTTTACTGCAGTCAAGATTGCCGAATCAGATGCGTGGATCCACCACACCCGAGTGAAGAAGACACCGCCTTTCAAGTGGAGAGTGGTTGGAAACCCTGACTTTGAAATCAACTTTGAAGCATGATTAAACTTGTTTATCTGTTTATTTGGCAGTCTATGGTGACAGAAACATGGATCAAAATTGGGTGGCTGAATCGGACCATACAGATTACACAAGTTTGGACCCAAGTCCAGACCAATCAGACCTCTGGACAGATGTAGAACAAGATGTGGATCAATTAGGAAAATAGAAGAGGAAACACAAGAAATTAAGGAAGACATGAGGAAAAGCTGGATAGACAAAGTTTTTGAAGGATTGGGCCTGAACTTGAAATCCTGGATAAAATCACTGATTGAAACACTGCTGCTATTGATCATAGTATTTATGGCAATTTATTTAGTGTATCTTTGCATAAAAAAAGAACCTGAAAGAAGACCAAAATGGAATCAGAAAATTCTGACTGCCCTATCAAGACAATATGAAATACGTAAAAATTATCCACCACCATACAACAATCATGGCTTTGTATCTCACGAAATAACAGAAATATAAAATCATTTGAATGACAGTATTGAAAATTGATTATCAATACTTTCGAAAGGGGGGAAATGTTGCAGTCAAGAGAACATTTTGATAGATTAAAGTAGTTAAAGTAGGTAATTGTTTAAACTGCAGAGTTAAAAGAGAACACTTTGATTGATTAAAGAAGTTAAAATAGGTATTTGTTTATTTTGATTGGTTAAAGTAGTTAAAATAGGTATTTGTTTAAACTGAAGAACAGGCCATAACTTTTCTCTCCATGTCAAAATTATGTAGGGATGAGCTTTTGAAGTAATTCAATGTCTTGTATGAAATATTATGGTAGTGATGAACCAAGCACGGTAAAGGGCAAATTAAAAAGCGGACATTTTATGCATACTTGTATAATCTTGTAATATCGCTTTCTTAAAAATGTATAAATAAGCTGTGAAAATGTATGGAAAATGTATGGAGCACAACTAGAGGAGGTATCCTCTGTGTCTCCCCAGCGCTCCAATAAAGAATTGCCTGCTTATCTGCAACCGCGTAGATAAGTTTTCTCTCGTCATGTTTGCAACCCCATCAACACATTCACGGGCTCTATTGTCTCCGAGGGTTTCCTTTCTCATCACTTATCATGGCTTTTTAAGCACATTCCTTCACCTCTGTTGGCCACATTCAATCATGCATCAGGCCGAGACACTTATGTTTTCTTCTCAGTGCTCACTGGCACCAGTACATCGCTCATGTATGTACACACACAAGGAGCTTTTTTCCTCTATAATCATTACATCTCAGCCAAGGTGTGCTCTCTACTCTATTTCTGCACTCTAGGCATCTCTCTGGCTTTTCACGTTTGGCAAATGCCTCCCCCACACACACAGCCCAACAGTCCTACTTCAAGAATTATTAAAAAAAATGCCTTTTGTGTTTGCTCTGATTACCCATTATACCTGTAAGAGGTATATGCAGTGGGAAAAAACCTGTGAAATTCTTTGCCTAACGATGTTGCAGATGCTAAAAGTTTCTATGACTTCATGGGGAACTCATGAAGAAGAAACCCAAAGAAAACACTTTGGATTCAGGGAGTCCTGAAGCTGAAAATAGTTGGTGGCTAAGAGAGTTTTAGTGAACGGCATCATCTACACTTGCCATATGCTTACACTTCTCCAGGAATTGGCCTCTGGCTGCTACTGAGGATGTGATATTGTACTAGATGGATCCTGGACCTGACTAAGCACACATACCTTTCTTTTTCCTTACCATGCCTCACACAACAGACAGCCATTCTAGTGTCTATTAATCATGGCAGTAAACTTAATAATTTATGAGTCTACAAAGAGAGGTGCAATTGCTCCACTCCCTTCATTTGTGCTATCCCTTCTGACTTCTCATCCTTGCTGTTTCAAAGCTGAATTCCCTGGTCTGCCACTGTCACTAAACTGAGCACGTAGACTTTGAAGGCCTGGCTCCACAGAGGATCCAAGTGGCATTGCTCCTCTGGTGCAAGAGGAGCTGTGCAGGCTTATTGCCAAAGGGCAGGTCCCAGGGCTCTCAGGGCTCAGGAAGCAAAACAGCCCATTATACAAATCTTTCCTTCACGTGTTGCACTCCTTCGCCTTATTTTCCACATTTGACTTTGGAAAACTCGTGTCAAATAAATGTTTGTTTGGGCAGAGCTAAGAAATGGACCCCTTTTCCTCTACCCCTAAGGAGGAGCTGGCTGTGCTTCTGGCCAAGAGTGGTGCTACTGGAAGTCACCTGGCTTTCTGTAAGCAAAGGAAAAGTCCAGAGCTATTGCCTTCCTTCTCTCCACTCTTTCAGTCCAGGAACAATGATTGTAAAGTATCCTGTCGCACATCAGCATCTAGCAACCCAGTATCTGATACTACTGTGATATTTGTAGGCTTCAGGTGCAATTTGTCTCGTCTGCTGTTTTCCTGTCCTATTCCCCTTAACCTCCATATGCTCTCTAACTCCAAAGGGAGTTTTCCCTGATCACAGTAAATAAGCTTTTAAGAGCTCAGTGCACTGGAGGAGAAGAATAACCCATTCTGTTGGATTTGGCAACTCTCTGAAATCTGTCTGGCTCTGCCAGCTGGGAAACCTGAAGCCAAACTTAGTCCTTTGAAGACAAAAATGGTGATTACTGAAGATCAAACAAAGGCCTAGTTTAACACAAATTCCACACATATTTCTTCAGTCCTATTCACTGAGAGGTCACTTGGGAATTTCTCTGGCTGCATTTCTATAGTGAAGATGTCAGATCACTTTTCCTTAAACCCTGGCCCAAATACAACCCCACAGCCTTGAAGCACAACACTGTCCAGAGGGTGTGTGGGCTAAAGACTACCAATATTCCACAGTAATCCTATCTGCAGTTCAGTGCGAGAAAGATATGGAAAACTCCCAACTGCTCACAAGGAGGAGAGAGGAAGATTAATACAGAGAACAAGGGCTCCACTCCTTCTGAAACATAGTGGAGGGAAACAGTGCCTGCAGGCACCTGAGGTCAGCCAATGCTCCTTCTTCTGAATCCTTCTGGGCTTACGGATAAAAGCCCATGGAGGAGATCTCATGTCGTGGTTTTCCCACCAACAAATCACTGTAAGCTTCATATTATCTCATTATAAAGTATTTTTTATGAAGAATGCTGTGGATACTGTGCATGATCAAAACACAAACCCTGGGTTGTTGTTTGGAAAATAAAAATAAATTACCTTCTACTGCAATGTTTTGCTGATCCACCACAAGTGCAGAGCCATCGTACAGGTAAGATAGCACCAGGGAAAACGTGGAGGCATCAACTTGGAACTCGGGGTCCTGCACAGTGATTCTGAGTCTCACAATGATGCTTCCAGCACGCAGGGATTCAGTCTGCACTTTCAGCTTCCCAGAATTGTATAAAGCAGAAATGTTGGGTGGAAATTATTTTTCAAGCTGAGCAGGGGGAGAAAAGTGTTGACAATTAGAAACTCAAAAGGAATAGCTCCTTTTAGAACTGAACCATGGTGGTACATTTTAAAGGTTTATATGTGCACAACATAGAAAAATTTGTAAAAAGGAAGGTTTCAAAATGTTTCAGGAATCTTACTTTTCAGAGATTATTGAGGCACAAAGAAGCACGAGTCTCCTTGGCACACCTATGTACCCTTGAAAATGGTACCCATCTGACCACTGGTCTTATAAAACAAATTTAATTTTGGCTCAGGGGAGCAGAATTCCTTCTGCCCCTATTTGCCTACATCACAGCTGAATTGGCCCTGTAAGCCTGCATGCATTAGACCCTTGATGTTAGCTCTGTACATCATGTAAGCTTTTTATCCCAAGTCTCCTATATACTCACCTCTTCTCTCCCAGACACTGGAACCTGGTCATCTCCACTGTCGCCAGAAAAAACTGGCTTGATTTTGGCTGCTACCAGCTGGCAGTCCCCCAGGCAGTACCCAGGCAGAGTTTGACACTTAACATCAGTCAGGGGCCAGTCCCCACAGGTGAACTGAATGTGACCACCATACTTTGGAATAACTAACTGCATGGATGCAGGCTGGTTTGTGTCAATTGGTGTCAGTGCCAGAGAATGGTTCAGGAAATGTTTCATTTGCAAGCATGGGCATAGCTTTAGCTCCCAGCAATTTTTTGAAATTCACCCATCCAAGTCCAGCCTGCAGCTGAGTTCTATGACAAATCTTCAGATTAAAGACAAAAAATGGGGGCAGATAACCTCAAGAAAATGTGTTTGAGACAGCCCAACTTCAGGGCAATAGTACAATTACACCATAGTTGATTATCAATCTGGTAAGTAAACACATCAGTTGAACAAATGGTGTGACTCTGAACATTAAAGCAGGCATTCTGGTGTCAGTATTTGAGCTGTGCAGGAGTTGGCAGTTTCGTCTTACATCTCTAGAAGGCATCTCCATGCTTGAACCTTTTGTTCCTACATACACCTCAAAGCACACCTTTGAGCATGCAAGCCAGTGCCATAAATCAACACAGCTTTGTTCCCATTCAGTCAGAGTTTGCTCCAAAAATTCCTACAAACAAGCTGTTTAACTGGTCTAAGTTCAGATTAGGGTGGAGAGGCAAGAAAAAGGAAAGATGAAGTGAGAGGAGGATGTTGTGCTCCCAAACACCCAAGAAGGCAGAAGCAACACAGAAGGGCCACACTCCTTTTCCTTTCCAACCCCATGATGTCAATTAGGTCTGCATTAGTCTCAGAGGAGATTTACTCACAAAAATCCTTCTGCACAACAAAAGCAAAAATCTGCAGCTATGAGAAATAAAACCATGTCAGGAGGTTTAACCTGCAATTTCTAATGAGCAAATGCCTCTTCTGTGCTGCCTTTGAAAGTATAGTTCTAATATTGTAGGGTTTTTTCCCCCGCAGATTTATATTCAAATATGTTTATGAGTCCTCCTTTGTTTTGGGAAAGTCTTCTTTTTGATGGAGATCCCAGTTCCTCTGATTTGGCCCTGTTCTCTACCCAGAAAAAAAAACAACTAGAAGAGATCACTGAATCTGAAACATCTCCCCTGTCTGGGAAGTTGAGAGCTGGTACAAACTTCATGACTCAAGTTTTGTTTATGGCTGGCTGCACCTGAGCATGGAGAGTGACAGCCTGTGTGCATGCAAAGAATGGGGCTGGAGAAGAAAGCCTGATCTGATCACTTTTCCTTAAAGAAGAAGGAGCTTTGAGAGCAGTCAGACATTTATTGAGAAGACAGCGCTGAAATGAGTGCCAGCAATGTCATTTCAATAATCCATTAAAATGCTTTGAGTCAATTTAGTGTGAGTCAAGATCCAAGGAAAGTAGTCCCTGTTGCATGCCCGCATTTTTAATTCTTTTACTCTTCTGTAGGGGAAAATTCTCATTGGCTCCACTGGTAATAAGGCCAAGGGCTTGATCTGTTTAGTCAGTTGATTTTTGGTTTAATTATAAAGAAAGGTCACAGGAAACAGTATGATGATTTTCAGGGGATATTTCTGCCAGGCATAAAATCCTCTATCACATTAAACAAATTCTAAATTGAAAAAAAAAATATTACTCACAGATATTTTAACATTACCTCTGTAAGCAACACTCTTGAAAATTCTTCATATGCTGAGCTGCTGACATTATGAAAATCATCAGTGAAGTTGTAGTTGAGAATCCTCATAGTAACACCAAATATCTTGGCCTCTGTAGGACACAATATTAAAACACACACTGACAAAGCTGAAGAGGAAAGGATTCAGTCGAAACTGATGTACCCAGACCAAAATCTCAAATGATGAAGGGAGAAAGAGGGAAAAAGGCTGTGAGAGTTTGGTATTAAATCAAGAAAATAAAGCAAATATTCTGTGACAAGCTTCCTATACATCAAGGTGAAGCACTTACATCAGGTCCATAAGATATTTAGGTGCCTAATTACAACTGCGTAAGAACTGAGTTTACACTTATCCTTGTGAACGTGACCCTAGGTAATTCTTGTACTTGAGTTACATCCAGGATAGAATTGCCTGTAAGCTCATCTCTGGTCCACCAGCCACAATAAATATTTTTATGTGGATAGTACATACATTCTTAAACTGAAAATAATAACAAAAAGCAGTGCATGCTACTTCTCTGCCTGGTAAGCCCTGACAGATAACATACAGAGCATGCGAGCCAAAACCAAGAGCCAAGGAATGTATTAACCACTTTAACCTGTGTAAACAATGTGACGCTGTTACTCTTTGGACTGATCCTTGGAAAACTTCTTTTTTTCAAGGGCTCCAACGTCATGCTCTGAAGTTCAGCCCCCTGTTTCCATACTCACTAGACCTCCTGCTTTCTCTCTACAAAGGGAATAATTTTCTTCTGACCGAAACTGGAGTCATCCCTCATCTGATCAAAGGGAAGGCTCTTATGGATAAACATAAACAGCAGCATTCTCACTGTGGCCAGTATTAAATAGTTCACTGCCTGCTTTTTTAAGAAAATGGGGAGACATTTATTTCCTTATTTGTGTAAAGGCTTAAGAAATAATTTAAGGATAAAGGAAAAGCAAAATTACATTTGAGCAACACACTAGGGCCTCAGGGAGCTAGCATCACTGGCCAATTGAACAAAAGTATGCTGGCATTTTGAAAGCTTTCTTGTACAGCCCTTGCTATTCCCTGTAATCCTGGTCACTTGTAAATATTCAGCTGAATCTGGCCTTCCTCTGGGCGCTCTTGTTAGCTCAGCTGAGCCCTTGACAAACCAGTTGGCTGGGTTTCTCACTAGCCACAGCAGTCAAACAGGAAAAATGGGGCCTGATGAGAGATAGGTGGCAGCAGAACGTAGTGCCAGGCACTCCCCCAAAAAAATCTCTCTTAGCCTGATATCTGTAATAGTGTGAGTCAGCTCCAGCACTGCTTTCTCAACTAAGGCCAGAGCTCTGCTACCTGATAACCTGGGTAGCATAAATGCTGGGATAGGGGAGAAAAAAAAGTGCTGCAGAAGGTGGGAGATGGAGTTCAGGGAGGACCATATGGATCCTTGCTGAACTGCAAGTGAGTGAGGAGAGAGAGAAATATATCTATTTTAAGGTGGCTGTTTACCTGTTTTAACATTTTGATGGGAGATGCTGGTTTCTCCACAGGTTTCATAGCTGATCTCTACTGAATACATCACACCTGCTTCCAGTCCAGATACATCCATTTTCATTTCCTCTATCTTTAGGTCTCGTACAATCTCTCTGTCCTTGAACACTTGCACTTGGAAAGTATGGTTCAGAGTAGAAGTGACATGCCAGGACATTTCAAAACTGTTGCTGGCAACACTGAAGATTCGGTGGTTTCTAACTGCAGAGGGATCTATTTCAGTCCCAGGAAGAGATATCACAGAAAAAGAAACATTTCCTCTTTAAAGCATTGTGTTATGCTAAACTGGTTCTAGACAAGCACTTTGACAATGAATAGGGGAAGCTTCTCTTTACATTACGTCTGCCCCTCTGACACTATCAGGTCCCCTTGTCCTCTTACCATCCCACTAATTGGGTGCTTACTCTTTTTATTTCCTTTTACTATATGTATTTTTGTTGAATCTCTAGTAACACTAATAATCAGCCAGTGAACTACAGGTTCAAGCAACAGGAATAAGTTTGGAATACTGAATCTGTGTGCTTTACATACGTTGACACCTGCTTTGCCTCTTGTCACTTCAATTATCAAAATGCACCTCTTCAGGCAAAGGCCACCTTGATTTATGTCTTGAAAAACCCCATAGACTTCAGCTTTGACAGGCTGGGGCAGAGTGGTGGGCAGCATTTCATCTGTGTATGCCACTCTAGTCCATTGCAATCACTGTCATGTCAATGGGAAAAGACAGAGCCCTTCAGAAATGATCCCTCTCCTCGAAGGAGGAGGAGGTGTCTAAATTTGGTAAGGTGAATTGCCCTCTAGCAGAACCTGTCTGTCTCCACTAACTAGAGGGAGAGCCCAGATGGCAAGCACAGACTAGACACCTTTTCCGTAGACAACAAGAGTCAAGTGAGATGAACACCATCACTTATGCTAAGCTAGAGACCATGACATGTTGCTGTCACAATTTTGATTCTTTCATGCAAATGGTTAGGCTGAGAAAAAAAGGGTTATTTTCTTAAATTATTTCAGTAGGACACAGTTGTTTCTAGGCCTCTGAGTCATGTGGCTGCCAAACTCCTGCAAAGCCCATGCTCTAGAGGGACTTAATTCCTCTAGCTTTCTCAGAAGTTATGGATGAATGTCAAGATTATCCAGCCTGTCTCTCTGAACTAGGCAAAGAACTACTGAAAGCCATTTCCTGCATAAGAAGAACAGGATTTTGGTATAAGAGGATCATGATAACTCTCACGTGAGAGGGCTGAAGTCTCTCATATACAGACAAAGCCACTGGGGTTTGTTCCCATCATAGTCCCTCAGGAAGCTATCATGTATACCAGGGAGAGTATTCACAAAGGCTAATTCCAGTATAGGGTAGCTGTGGTCAACCTCCCTGACTCATGTCCCCACCACCATCTTCATGGACTCTAAAGCAAAAGGCCCACATCCCTGCAGCCATGGCCAGAAGGAGCTCCTGGCCTCAGTAGCAGATCCTCCCATACCTCATTCTAGGTCAAGCTCAGGATGTGCAGTGAGCTGAGTCCAGGGCTAGTGGCACTGGCCTTGCACAGCCCTTGCTGGCCTTCTCGCCCTGGGGGATTATCCAGTGCAGCACCTGTGATGGGACCTGCACTTGAAAGCCTCACCAGGCACAAGTGGCTCATGGAGCCCAGGGTGGACACTTCCACTTTCAGGAAACCAGTTCCCTTCAGTAGCCTTGGGGATAACAGCGGGGCTTCTCCAGTGATCACTTCACAGCATCTCTGCCCTCGATCCATAAGTTCCCATGGGGAAGCCTCTCTCTTTCCATACGTGGAGATTCATGACAAAACTATTACCAGCTTCTGTGAACACCGTCCTGTAACTCACCCAGCCCCAGGACAAAGGGATCAAAGAGTGGCTGAATTAAAAGCAAGACAATATTCATTCAAATCCAAGGATTACTTACAGCACGCAGCATTTGAGGATTGGTTAGTCATGGACAAGAGACCTGAATTACTTATAGACAGAGAGCTATTGCTAGTGTTAATGTGATCCAGCGCTGAACTTAGAGTAGATGCTGTCATGCCTAGCGGAAATATAGTATTATCAAAGAGTTAAAGCATTCCTAACAAAGCAAATCCAAAATAATATCATTCATGTTTTCAACAACTGAAAAGCAGCAATAGGCGTAATGTAAATAGAAATGAAAATAAACGTATTATCATACCACAAAAGCATAAAGTAATACATTCCTTTCATTAGCAAGATTAAAGGATTGTAAAATTGTTTTCTAACTAAAGCATTGAATCTGCAAGCACTTATTTATCTCATTATCTTTAAGCCTATTAGCAGGCCTATTGATGTCCATGGGCTGTAAGTATATGCCTCTATATTTTGCTGGTACTGTAAAGTGTTATTTCACCCGCTGCAAAGCTTCACCTGCCCCCAGCAGAGAACCTTGTACAGTCCAGGGTGGGATTATACAGCTGAGTCCCAGCCGCAGTCACGCAGTCAAAATGGGAAGGAGAGTTCATGTACAAATCACATCACTAATGACATTTCCCTAC